TATATATATATATATATATATATATATATATTTCATAGTTAAAATATTATTGCTAGCATTTTTTGAGGTACTATTGAAATTAAAAATATGGTGGTGTAGGGGGGGATTTGTTGCCGACAATGCCAACCATCATCTATGAAAAGGCACCCCACCATAGAATGTAGTTAACATGTCTTATATACTAGTGAATCGGAAATGTATTTTTGTAGTGGTAGACACACTACAGTACTCCCCCACCAGAATTATAGCTGCGATAGAATTCGATGAACGGATACCACTAGTTGTATCATTGCTGTTTTGTGAGAAACCGGTAGAGCTGTATTAAGATCACCGTGCTTTTTGCTGATCGTGAGAGCTGTATTAAGTTCTCTGTCGTAGTTGCTCCTGTGTTGCCATTAGCAGTCGAGTGTATGCAGGCCAACGTTGTGTGAGATCGAGACTGAGTAGAAACAGTGCGAGGAGGTGGATAATGTCGCAAGTAGCGAGTCAACTGTTCAATGTCGTTCGTCCATCGAAGTAGGCGTGTTCAAATCGTAGTGGGCGTTGCTGTCAAGTTACGCATGTTCATATGAAAGTGGCAGTTTTTGCCAACGTAGGTATGTTCACATCACGTCCGAAGGTCACCAATGTGGAGTGAGTGTTGTTGCCGACAATGCCAACTGTGAAAAGGCACCCCACCATAGAATCTAGTTAATATGTCTTATATAAAAGTGAATCGGAATTGTATTTTTGTAGTAGTAGACACACTACAGTGGCAACACTAGATTATGAATGAGAACAGTGCAAGTGATTTTAGATTTGAGCTTTTACTGCAAAGTTAGACGAGATTTTTCCCATCGTCATAGTTGAAGCTGGTCATTGGCATTTGATGCTAGGGATAAAAACTCAATTTTACGAGTCGTGTTAAAATTTTTCTTGATACTGTGGTGTAATCATCGTACTTGATTCGAGAAGTTCATGCTCTGGCGAACCTAAAAATTTCAACATACGCTCAAAGTATTTTTTGTAATCTCTTTGAACTGAACTGAAGTTTGAAAAATAAAATGTGATCATCGTAAAACTTCGTTACCATCGAAACCATCGTGATACTTTGTTCTTTACTTTACTTTTTACTTTACGTTTTCTCTTTTCGCAGTCTGCTTTACGTTTTTCCTCAGTTATTACTTGCTCGATTATTCTTGTATGTTTTTAATTTTGCTGTTAAGTTTTCATTAAAGTTATGTTTAAATTTAGCATTTCTCCTTTCTGTTATCTTTGGCGACAGACTTAACTAAACATGCAGATTTATAATAAACGCAACCGATTTCTCTCCAAAGATAAGTGGTGACCCGGACGTGATGCAATTATCAATTTTTCTTTTTGTACTGAATCGAAAACGCTTCACAACATTTGTTATCTTATTTTATAATCGAAATTAAGTATGATAACAATAGCATCTATTTTATTTATTGATAAAATAAGAACAAAATTGGCAGTAAATTTAATTCATTTCATTTTATCGGAAGGTATATATAACACTGGGGAACAAATTTTTGTTGCATTTATACAAATACTTGATCTTCAGGAGATTTCATATTTGAGAGCGCAAAGCTACAATTTTTTTTAAATGACATTTTTGGTGTATTTTTTGTCGAAATGTACAAGTTTAAAAACGTTATTTACATTAGGTTCGCATAAATGTCGCAAAACACTTCTAGGGAAGTTAAGGCATATCATCAGGATTAAAATTGCATACAAATCCATGACCGGAAATGTCGCTGTATGCGACTATGGGCACTTCTGTGTTATGAATTATTCAGCACCACGCGAAGAAACACTTCATAATAGGAAGCAACCCTAGCGGCGTATGTTGACATTTCCGGACATGGGTTCCAATAATGCAACTTTAATTCTGATGACGTGCCATAACTTCCCTATAATTTTGTCGCAACATTTACATTACCCCTTTGTTACGTATAACGTCTTCAAACTTGTATATTTCTACATAATACAGAATAAAAATGTCATTTTATCAAAATCTGTAACTTGGAGAATTGTAGATTTGAAATCAGTGATACGAAAGCGTCTAAAATCTGTTAAAAAAGTTGTTTCCTAATGTAATTTATGGTAATTGCAAATATTTTTCTGCCGCTGCTGGAATTGAAATAATTTTGCAATTAGATCTTTCTCTCTTTTCCGTGTAAGGTACAGCTTTGTTTCAAATTGTTACAAATGTTTCTTAAGAATAAATTCAACAGTCTTGTAATTTTGAATCAAACTAGAAGACACGCGAAATCTTGATTCAAGAAATAAGTCACATTTGTCCTCATTTAAGGGAAAATTATCCACCTATGTGCTAATCGGAGAAAAAGACTAGGAAACTCTTCCTTGCTTAGCACTTTTGTGTGTATTTATTTTTTTTAAATGATATTCTAATTATTTCTATTTTGTGCCTTGTCCTAAAACGAATATAATAATGAATTTACTTTTTTTCTTTCAGTATCCAATGAAAATGGTCAACAACACATGTTTAGTCTTTATAGCTTTATCTATCTTGGCTATTATCTTCACAGTTTCATCTGAATCCCTGGATCAAGTAAGAAAATAAACTTTTCTTTAAAAAATTATGTATAATCAAATTCATTTTTATTATCTACTTACTTAAAAGATTCTTTTTATCTTTAATTATTAGTCTATTTTATTTAAAAATAAGACAGAATTTTAGTGTTTGTTCTCACTTTTTTTTTTATTGAGTCTTAGCCCTTTCAAGATAAAATAAACACATTTTTAATTTATAGCAAAATGTAAATTGTAGCCCAACAAATACCTCCTAATTTCATGCGAATGAAAACTTTATAACTTCAAATAATATTATAACTTCTAATAATAATAATAATATTTTTGTCGTATCTAAAAAAAAATCAAAATATTATAAAAATGTCTAAGTATGAATGCACAAATGATTAAGTTTTTGGTAGATACCACTACCCCAGATTTTCGTTTAAGATTAAAACAAACTTTACTCAAGTGTTTATTTGTAAGAAATTCAAATTATTACAAAATCTGCAGAAATTTCATAAATATTAGCTGTTGCCTGCGGCATTGTCCACGCAGAAATACTTTGATTTCAATTTTAACTATTTTCGAGAGATGCTCGCTATATTGCCCAAAGTTCTCTAAGTATTGAATTTCAGAAATAGTTTAAAATCTATCTGACAGCCATCAAATCACATAAACCACTATAAGTACGAGTTCCGAACATTTCAACATATTAGGAAGCTGAAATACTAAAATTATTTCTTTTATCGTGAGATAAGAAAAAGCCCCACTTAAACTTAAAATTCCTACAGACATTTTAGAAAAAGTCAGAAATAATTCTAATTTACTTCGAAACTTTTTTTTTTATAAAAATACAAAATTATTCAACATAAATACATACCATATAACTAACTATTCAACACTAACTTTCACTCAAAACTACCGAACAAAATGAATTTAAATAAATATATCTAATATAATTACTTCGCAACTAAGTTTTTTATCAATAAGAATACAACTCAACGTATTACTAATTATTTAGCACTACTTAAATTATTTATTAAGACAACCTAACAAAATAAATTACTATGCAATGCCAATTGCATAATAATTCATTTTGCTAGGTTGTCTTAATACTGTTGCCAACTTGATAGAGAAATAATGGAGTTTTTCATGCCACGTAAGAGAATTATATAGATGTACAGGGAATTTAGAAAGTGTACAGGGAAGTGCGCATGTGCAGAGAATTTAGAAAAAAATATTTTGCCTGTCGTATAGTCCTTTTGTATCTTAATTAAACTTGCAAAATCAATTGCTCTTAAAGAAGAATTATTATATTCTAATTTTTTGAGACTAAATTAAGCCTATCAGTTTTTATTTATTAGAAGATTCATAATCATAATTTCTGAATTTTTTTTTTTTATTTAGCCTAAAAATTTGGAAACAGCAAATAAAATTTCATTTTTTTTTATTTATTTACAAACTTTTATCATTCTCTAAACCTTTATCATCTTAAATAGGCCGTTTTTGTATATTTATTCAAGAATATTTCAAACCTTATGAAAAATTTAATATGCTAAGAAACGCATGCTTTTGTAGAATTTTGAATTAGAAATACATAAAAAATTTTATATTCAATGACAAATATTGTTATTTCACTACCAGACAGTTTCATAATTTGAGCGAAAATGGAAATAGTAATAAAAAACGTAGGCATTTAGTAATAAATACTTGTATGTATTGACTCCATATTATTATAAATCTTCCTTAAATTTTTATATTATACAAAATCTCTAAAATTCCAAATTCTAAAATAGATTAGAAATAATATAGTTGATAACTTGAGTATTGAGATATGGATATTATTAAAAACAGACTTCATTATTCCTGTATCTTTAAAAATTGTATTTATCTTTTGATATAACAGACACTGTATAACTTTCCAAAGATGTTTAATGCAAAAAAAAAAAAAAAAATTGAGAATTATTATTGTAAAAATAATTACAACAAAAGACAGAATTTAAAGTATTTCAAAAGTCCTATACATTTTTATAAACCAGAAAATTTATAACCTTGTACAGTCGGAAGAAAACATTTAAGCAAGTTTAAAAGCACTAAAAATTATTGAATAAAAAACAGTTTTCATAGTTCACAGAAACCATGTCCCTGTTTTTATATCATGGAAAATTCATAATTTTTTAAAAAGCAATAACATTTAAAAGGCTCAGTAGCATTAAAAATTATTGCATGAAAACCATCTAAAAGTATTGCAAAAAAGTATGCGAGTTGATATGCAAAAAAATTCATAACGTTTAACAGTAAAAAAAATAGAAATATTTTCGAGAGTTTATTAAAATTAAAAATTATTTCAGCTCAAAAGAATGAGAGTATTGCGAAACCATATCATAAATTTGATATGCTAGAATTGTTGAGTTAAAAAATACTAGAAATATTTTAGAAAGTTTGCCATTAAAATTATCGCAAAAAAAAAGTTTCTGAGGTTCAGTATATTAGAAAATTCATAACTTTGTAGAGATAAAAAAAAATTGAAATGTTTTTGAAAGTTTATTACCATTTGAATTATTGCTACAAAATCGCATCTAAGGTTCGCCCTGTTCGGAAGTTCGTAACTTCGTTAAGTCGAAAAAAAAATTCGAAAAATTTTAGTTTCAGAGCATATTGACTTATAGGAAAAATAGAACAAGTTATTATTAAAAACGTCAATTGTTCAGTTTAGAAGATGTCTAAAATATTCTCTCTTTTGTTCCGCTATATTTGAAGCTAGGAAACGTTGATTACGAAACTTACGTCATTTCCTACGGATTTTAAGAAGTTTAAGTTTCTCCCAGTCTTTTGTTACTTTTCCTCATTCTATTTTTACACATTTGGAAATTTAAATGGCTTCTATTATTTTAACTGTTTAATTTTAAATGCTTGTTTTTGAAACAAAGAAAAAAACATAAAGCACATGTTGCCATTTAAAAGTAAGTGAAATACACACCGATTTTGAAATTTGAAATGATTTTACCGGTCACTTTTTCCATGTAAAAATGTGTTTTGTGCTGTATAAAAATATGTACATGTTGAATTATATAATAACTGTAAAATTATGTAATAATTGCGAATGAGAGCAGTTATATTTCTGCGTTTAACACGGAAAACCTTTCAATTATAAAAACACTTCCTCAACTTGCAATTACTTAAACTGTGAAATTAAAAAAATGATGATGACTTTTAATATAAAAATATAAGATGAAGATTTTTACTTTAAAATTAGGGGATTATGCATTATAATAATTAAAGAAATTTAACAAAAATTAAAAATACATTGAAATACAAAAAATTAAAGCTTTTTTGAAAAAAAAGTAAACAAAATTTTAATGACCGTATGTTTTTCATAGTTAAATATATTTTACGTTGTGCTATTTATTTATTTAAAAACGTAACGCGTTTATGTAATTTTTGTTTTTAAAAAATGAATGCATTTCTTTTAGCAACGTAGAAATTATTTTAGCCAACCTAAGCCTTGCTCATTAAGGTATAGTTATCGTTTCAATAAAGTAAATATATATTTCAAATTAGTGATAAAATAACAAAACATTTAAAATTTTATGGATATTTAAATTATATTACATAAATTATATAATAGTTTTTATTTATTTTATTATAATTATAATACTATTAAAATAATTACGATTATTATTTTGTTTTATAACCATCATTGAACAGCCTACCCAATTTCGGATTTACGACTATTAATTTTCAACTCCGTAACCTTGTAATTTTGAACCTAATCCAGAAGACAGAGGAACTCTTGGATCAAGTATTGGGAAAAATTCAACTTCGTGATGGAACTGACCCACTTTTGCGTTACAAAGAGAGGAAAACCCCGAAAACCTCCCAAGGTGAGCCAGACGCCAAGGGCAAATGATCCATCCACCACTGAGGATATTTTATGTCAGCACTATGGTCAGTGCGAGCCGGGCGCGGAATCCGTATCGACCAGCCTTTGCTGGAATTTGAACCCGGTTCAACGCTTTATCCTCTCAGCCACCCAAGTTCTCTGATTATAATTATTTTTTTTTTTTGTCGAATGCCTGTTTTGGCAGTGGGGGTGCGATTGTTCCTGTTTTTCAGTGGCGCCATCTATGGCCAGGAATTCGACTTCTCTCACGCCATTTACACAATCACAACCCGTTTATAGGGCGGGTCACATTCACACACAAAGAAGAAAAGACATAGAACGCACAGAGAGAGAAAGAAACATCCATACCTTACCCGGGATTCGAATACAGGACCTTTCTGATGCAAGGACAGTTCCCTGCCCCCTACACAGGCCGGTCGGCATAATTATTTTTATAATTATTGTTATAACTATTGTTATAATTATTCTTATAATTATTGTTATAATAATTAGTAATATTATAATTGTTAAACTAATAATATATCGAATAAGTGCTAAATTGATTTATATTATTGATGAATTTAAAAAAAAAGAATGAACTTTCTGTTCTGTCTCTACCATCAACAGTTATGATTTTAATTATCCACGTAAAAAAAGAGGTCTTAAGTTTGATAGAAAACATTTTACTAGACTCCTCATCGGTTATTTACTTAGAACAGCTTAAATTCAACATTTACTCATAATAAAAAAAAAAACTATCTTGAAATTTAACAGCACTCGCTTTCTTATTGGATTAAAATAAGCAGCTTTAACTCAGTCTGTCTGAACATATTTACATATTTCAAACTTTATCGCTTGAAGTAAAAAGCTTGAGATGCCATTAAATAATACGACGAATACTAAAGGGCAAGTGTTTTAAATAAATATTTCGGCGATTTATGTGAAAAAAATTCAAGAGAAACCATAAATGTACAGTTTATGAATTGAAAAGTGCCGTCATTTCGACTTTCATTATTCTTTATTGTACCTTTAAAATGTACTTCAATCGCTAATTTTAACTAAATTGTATAAATTTTGCATTGGTAAATATATGCATGATTAAAAAGATAGAAAAAAAGACTATTCTTCCTAATGTACATAATTTAGATATTTGAACATTCAGTGAAATATTTACACTAGAGTGCAACTGAAGGGATTATATTTTGTGAAATATTCTTATTTACATGTAATAATTAATTTAAAAGTTTTCTTGAATCAAATTATAACAAATATTTATTATGCAGTTATCTGTGAACTTTCGTCAACTGAATAACTAAATTGGTTAAGGTTTATTTGAATTATTAACTTTACATTTGTCATAACTTGCTTGCTTATAAAAAAGAATCTTGGAATAAAAATTGGTTATTTTTGCAGGATAATAGCTTTGTTATCAAGTTGTTATTTAAGTAGCAGTGTGAAACAAATTATTAATAAACTGTCTTGGTGATTAATACACAGAGTACAGTGAAAGTATCTATTGGGACATTGGAAATAAGACATTCAAATCTGCAGCAGACTATTAAGCATTCCTAGGTTTAAATCTATCTGTAATAATAAAGTGGATTTGCTTACAGCTATTAAGAATTTCAGAATTACTTTAGACAGTAATAGTTTTCCTTTTAATTATTGTAACTATATTCTTTTGATTCAAAATTTTTTAAAGATATTCAATTAATTTTGTCGATTTTGAAGTCCGCCTATACGGTGAAGATAAGGATTTTTTGTTCCAGATGAATATAGATGGCAATACTTAGTTAAAACATTTTTTCGTTAGTTTGGCTTGCTTTCATATTTTTCGTAAGAGAACAACACTGGATTTTTTTAATTTCACTTAATTGTTTTAAAGAAATGGCTATTAATATTTTTCGGTCATTTTAACTGTGACTTTCACTTAGTTGATTTTATATGTAGACGTGATGTCCTGAGTCTACTTTTGACTTCAGTTATTTTCGTTTGAAATTGTGTTTCCCTGGATATTCAATTTTATTTTGATTATTATGTTCTTATTTTTTTCTGTTATGGGGCCTTGAGGTACTGTCAGTTTTTGGTATAACCACTGACTACAGAAAGGCTCCAGCATGTTAGCGTGATCCCTGATGAAGTACTGCTTTTGCTAACATGCGTATCTTTAAAATTTGTCTGATTTTTACTTAAATTCTCACATTTTCATTTAAAATGTTAAGCATTCTCCTAATAAAAAAATTGCAGAACCTCGCGTGTCTACTTTTATACTGTAGTGGGAAATGGGGGGAGAAGAGAAATATACAAACTTGCTTTTATTGGATTCTCTTTATGTAAAGTCACGGTGGTTCAGAATATAGAGTACTCGCGTCCCAATGTGGAGCCCTAGGTTCGAAATCCAGCGATAACTGGTCGATACGAATATTGAGAATGACTCGCACCAACCACAATGCTGACGTAAAATATCCTCAGTGGTATATAGGTTTTGGTTTAAAAGTCGCTTAATCGTCAGTCTAACCGTGGAAAGTTTTGTGGTTGAGTATGCGGGTTTATACATATGAAAGTCCTCTATGAGGGCAAGTATGTCACAATACTTACCTGCTTATAGTCAAGGTTTGTCTCAGAATTTCATAGCTATGAAGCTGCGCATTGATATGCCTAAACCTAAGAACAGGTTGACTGTTCAAAAATAATAAAATAAGATTATATTTATGTGAAGAACAGCTAAAATTGAAATTCATTAATTAATACTTTTAGGGAAAAAAAGCTTCATAACACTTACAGGCTTGCTAAAAATTACTATAAAAATGACAAAATTAATAGATTTTTTTGGTAAATAAAACTAAAATCAGTTTCTAACGCCAGGCTAATAAATTTTAGGCTCATAAGACAAATATACCGATTTTTAGTAATCCTTACACCTTTTTTGGTCTCAATAATTATGCACGTTATAATTGAAACTATAATAATAATGTTTTTAATTCCCTAAAATGTAATCTGTGATTCATTATATCTTAATTGTCAGTAAAGATTATGAAATTATATATTTAGGGAGATCCAATTCTTTTGCAGGCGTTTTATAATTGTTTTAAAAATTTAATACAACTGAGCAATTACAGGAAAATTCAGAGAACACATTTTATTACAGGATCAAATGGATCTTCCAGTCCTGCAGAAACGACCGTTCTGCAATGCATTCACTGGCTGTGGTAGGAAGAGGAACAGCCTCAGGAGTGAAAACTCTGTCGACATCTTTGGGAACAGGAGGAGCAGTCAAAACAAAATCTACGCTCTTATTCAACAAAAGTTGGCCGAGGTTGAAGCACTGCGAGGAGCTCTGGATGAGGTAAATTAAAAAAAATAATTTTAATAAAAAGTAATCATTATTACCTTTATTGCAATTCTTTAAATGCCTTAGAATGTTGTAGTAAAACTTATAGAAGTATCTCAATAAGTTTGTAATTCCAGCTACACTTATCCTATTGCGAAATTTGAGATTTATAATTTTAAAGTGGACGCTAATGAAAAGAAATTTGCTACTTTATTACTACATTAACACCATTTTTTTTAAAAAAAATATGATGACAGTACGAAACCTGATATAAGAATTGACAAATTGCGTCTGAAGGGCATCAATTTGAGCAAAATTACGTAACTATAACAAAACTTTTCAGTGAAACTTTCATTCACTGATCAGAAAATAAGAAATAAAGGTTTTCCAACTAACAAAGGGTATATTTCTTCTGGGCAGTGTTAAATAATGTAGAATGAAAACGAAGTATAACACAAATAGTATAGTTTTAAAGACACGACAACTTCAGTACTGTAACAAGAATCATCACCTTTGGCAAGACGCAAAATCATGGTATTTCCTGTTGAGTCAAAAAGATTGTCTATCTTTGTTAATTACATAATTAGTACCATGTGTTATCCTACTTTATTTACAACAGCTCAGGAGAAAGAATTTTTGTATACTAGATAATCTTTAACAATACTATTTTTGATTAAGAAATAAAAATTTAGATGAAAAGTTTTATCACAGTAACGTAACACTTATATTAAGAAATAAATTCGGACAAAGTTATGTCATTCAGACGAAATTTATCACCAAAATTATTCTTATCAGGGTTCATTGGAAAAATTGGTATTATTGTTGCAATAAAGCAACAATTTTTGTTTCTCAATAGCCTCCAAATAGGAATACGCCAATGAATTTCCAGCAATTTATGGTTGATTCACAGCAAAATTTATCACGAATATTACAATTGTTACCTTTAAAAAATGTTAATATTCTAGATATAATAGGTAATGGTTCACATAATGCCAGCATTTGAAAGTCTTATATTGGACCTAGTACTACTTATGAACAAATATTTAGCATTTAAGAAAAGAAACCTTATGGCGAAGTCTGTTGCAGTTTACTTGATTGCTTAAACGATTTATAAATCAAGTTACCAATTGTATTCATATTATTTTGAAATATATTTAGTAATGAAATTTTGAATATAATAAAGTGATATGTTATTTCCGTCTAGTAACGTAGCTATACTTATATTTAACTTTATGAGTATGTTGTTATACTTTTCTACTTAATTTCTACTCATATTTGCCCTCTGCATCTTCATTTAAGGATGGAGGGCTGTGGTAACCCAGTAGTTAAAGCATCGGATTTCACGCCGGAGAAATCGGGGTTCGATCTTTAAATGTTTTTTTTTCATTTTTTTTTCAATGGCAGGCACTGAATTTGAATCTTTGCCTATACTACACCAGAATTGTTGCTCATTTCACGTTACCCAGTGGGCACCTGTGAACCAAAGTCACGGAGGCGAGCAACATTGCCCACGCCACACTGCCACAAACCCGTTTATGGGGTGGGCCACATTCACACATCATACACACACACAACAGAGGACAGCACAAAGAGAGATAGAAACATCCATGTCCAGAGCGGGATTCGAACCCGCAGCCTATGGCTTCGCAGTCAGGCACGCTAACCGCTCGGCCACCTGGCCGGCCGATCTTTAAATCTGTTAAGACTCACCTAGATCATGCTATATGCATGCTCGTAAAAGCAGCTCATAGTCCTCTGGTCGGTCGCTGAGAAGTACCACGGGTACAGGGATCTGGACATTATTTCCTTCCTCTTCCGATCCATATCTAAATTGTGAAAGTTGCCTCACGCATGAGTGATGTTGACATCTCTGCTACGTCATATTCAAAAAGTCAATGATCGGTTAACTGGGCTTGTCCAGTTATCATTAGAAACAACAACATTTAAGGATAGATGATTTTTAGCCTGCCCTATAACGATTATATAAAAAATACTTGATTAATACAATGAAATAAGTCGCCTTTTTATACGCTTAAATATTCTAAGCATCGCTGCTCATAATCTGTTAGTGAATGCATTCTTTAGTTTAATATAAAATGCATAGTTTAATGTAATAACAAATATTTAACAGGTTTTTTTCATTATAAATAGTTAGTAAAATAATTTTTATAACAAAGAAATTGCTTCATGCATTAACTAGATGAACTGGTTTCTATAAGCTAAAAATCTTTTTGTATGAAAAAGTATGGAAGTATGAAAAAGCATAAAATTAAAATTTCTTACAATATTAAATACAAATTGTACTTAAAAATGTTTTCTAATTAGCCTATAACTCAAGTGGGAAAAATGACAATAAGTTTTTGGAAAATATATGTTTATTTAAACCTGTTCAGATCTATAAGTATAAGAGATTTTAAAATAACAGAATGTAAAAGATTAATTTTGAATATGTTATTTTGATAATAAATCATACACGAATAATTAATTCATCGTAATAATTATCTTTAGGAAATGTGATCAACTTACTAATTATTTCTCTAATATTTCTATTTATATAAAACACGAACAAGAATTAAATAATTTTTACTTCTTGAAGAATCACTCGTGTTTAATTAATATCAAAAACTAATTGCATATTTTCAATCTTTTAAAATTATGCTTTACGCAAAGTTAATAGATTTTGTTCAGTGTATACATCAAAGGAGGCTGTGATTTTAGGGATTATTTTAATTACTTGCATCTGTATTTGTTTTAATGTGATATAAAACTACGAGTATCACTAAATGAAATGATATTATATAAAATAGCAATAAAATATTATAAATTGTTTAACTAGTTGATCTCTTAACAACAAACAGCAACTCTAACATTAAATTATATATTACTGTGGAAAATCAAAACATTTAATATAAAAGTAAATTAAGAGATAGAATGTAATTTAATATTTTTTATATGTAAGCACATTATTAAAATTAATTACTCTATGATTATCATTCTTCGAAAACTGGTTCGTTTTTTTTGTATTTTTATTGTAATTGTAAGTAAAACCACTGTAGTGTAACCGAAAAAAAAAAAAAAGAATTCAATATAGTAATCCGCATTTTAAGTTGAGGGAAAAAGTTTTTGGGCTATACAAGTTTTTCTCTAGAGTTTGAATAAGTTTAAAATACTTGTCAGTTTTATTAAAATTTCAAATGTTTTTAAAAAAAATATGAATATTTTCTTTTAAAAAAATTAATGAATTAATTTAAAATAGATTGCGTTTTTTAATTAATAAATTCTTTGATAAACCATTATTTTTTTAATTTTATTTAGTGAAAAGTAATTAGTTTTAGCGTACCTAGGATTTAGAGGATTAGAGGATTTTTCTAAACAAAATTTTTGAAAACAATATACATTGTAACCTGCTTTATTTTGACCAATTTGACATAAAGTATACGATAACACTCAAAAGAACTTCCAAAGTTACAGCAAAAATACTCAAACTCACATACTGATGACTAGACAGCGGATAATATGCAATTGCGTACGTGCATATGCAATTGCATATTTTAGCAGTGCATATAAATGCATAAAAAGGTATATTTGCTCTTATAAATGCATATTTTCAGCATTTTATGGCTTTTCCCTCCTAAAACCATATCACTATTCTTTTTATGTTAGCATAAGGAACGCTTTAAATTTTGTTTTGTCGTTCTTTATCACCTGAAAGGGTCAGCTGGGTTGATGTTGCTGGGGGTGATTGCAATCACGTGAAAAAGATGTAGGAATGAGGTGTGTGTCGGGAAGGGGGGTACAAAGGGCTCACCCAAACAGACATTCGTCACAGAAACCTCAGAAAGGGATGGTCAGATATTCTATGAAGGGATGTCTTTTCCTGGAATAAATAATTGTCAATCTGTGTGGGAAAAATAAGGCTTCTGTGGTAGGTAGAAAATGACCTCCTTTCCTGTGATTGATTAGTTAAAAGGTGGAGTGAATACATTTTCGGAGAGAGCTGCTATTCTAACATATTTCGATAGTCCATCCGATAGATAGATAGTTTCGACATCCATCAGTTGAATACGTAGTTAGTGAAGCTTCGAACGTGATTTTTGACTGCTGAATTTTATAATATGCCAAAAATTAAGTCGACTAAATCAAATTTAATGAAGACATGGATTTCGGACTATGGGAAGGACTTTACGACCGATGGGGAAATAGTATTTTGTGTGATTTGTCAAAAACACATTTCCTGTGAAAAAAAGTACCAAATCGATCAACATATAAAGACTAATGCTCACTCCGCGAAGAAAAAGCAGAATACAAAAGGATTTGTTCAAAGTTTATTAACTATTCCTGTTCAAGCAGCTAAAAAGGAAAGTGATTTTTCTAGTGATTTATGCAAAGCCTTAGTAAGCAGCAATATTCCTTTAAAAAAGTTAAATAATCCAAACTTAAGACAGTTTTTAAAAAAATATTGTACCAATCAGATCATTCCCGATGAATCGACTTTAAGAAAGAACTACCTTCAACCGATATATAACGAAGTACTGGATGATATTCGACGAGATATTGGAGATGGCCCTATATGGATTGAAGTCGATGAGACGACAGATAAGTGCGGTCGCTATATTGCTCATTTTATTTGTGGAAAAATGGATAATATTCCTACTCGACCACATCTTCTAGCAAGCAAAGCCCTTGAAAAAGTCAATCATTCAACCATAGCAAGGTTTGTCAATGATTCTATCAGATTATTATGGCCTGATAGAGATGGTTCTGAAGATGTTTTGATTTTTGTCAGTGATGCCGCTCCGTATATGGTCAAATCTGCAGCAGCACTGGAAATTTTTTATCCCAGAATGCTTCATATTACATGTTTGGCTCATGCTGTTCACAGACTGGCTGAGACTGTTCGAGAAGTATTCTCCTCTGTGAATGATTTAATTTCTAGTATCAAGAAAGTTTTTCTCAAGGCACCTGTGCGCATAAAATTGTATAAAGAAATGTATCCTGATTTGCCCTTACCTCCA